AAGTGAAATGTCGCTGGTTGGGTGGCGATGCAGCCGAGAGGAGCGAGCCGAAGTCTGAGTCCGTAAATCGGATCAACTGTGAGCAAGACGCCGCTGACTACGCGGAGCGAATATCCAATATCCAACTTCAAACTAATTTCACCTCGGTCGTTTGGGGACAGTGTACTCAGGCTCCAGCGTTTCATTTAATTTCTGAACCCATCACCTTCTACCACACTAATGGGTCTCATGTCCATGGCAATAAAATCCACAATGGCATCCGTTATTTCCGTCTTTCTTTTCTTCGACACTGTTTTTTTTTTTTAAATGAAGGGTCTGCTGAGTGTATTTGGGGGTGGGGGTCGAGGCTGAAGACGTTGATGGCAGCGATGCCTGGGGATGCACCTACGGACAAATTATACTATTAGGCTCAGCAACCTAATGTCCTAAAGTTAATTTTATTCTCGGCCGGAGGCAGGAGGCCGAATATTCGGAGATCAGAATTGGTATTCTGACGCCGGCACTCCGAACGAATAGTCGGCTATTCGGCTATTCGGGTCCAGCCCAACCGGACAGTGAACGTCGCTAAAATTGCGGCGCTCGGTTGTGATTTGGACATACAACACCACTTTATTTAAATTGCTTTTAGTTACTGGATCCTGAAGAAACGCTCTCTCATCTGGTATGTACAGCAAAATGACAATAAACTTGATTTAATTTGATTTCTTAGCTACGCAATAAACTGTTAATTTGATGTGTTTGTACTATGCTGTTGCAGCACAAATCGCGGCTAGCGAGCGACGTAATTAATAGCTCGAGTAGTGTCCGAAATGATACTTTGCCGAGGTGCTCCCTATATAGTGATCACTACATAGTGCACTATATAGGGAGCACTATATAGTGCACTATGTAGTGATCACTGTATAGGGAGGAGGGAGTGAGTGGGTGATTTCGGACACAGCCAGTGAAGCGCGGTCAGCGCATGTCGATCTGGGCTGCCAATAAAGCTGCTGAACTGTCCTGCCGTTGTGGTGAGTTATTAGCTCGGAAGATAACAAAACATAACGCAAGCATAAAGTAATTGTAGACCAACAGGGACCTCACCTACACCAGGTACACCTGCAGCTTATGCTACTTACCTTACTTCACGCCTGACACATGCATTTGCAGGTGCAGCTCAAACCTCAGCACTTAGTAAGTTGTGTCAAAAGTCACAATATGACAAGAAGGTCGTTTTTCACCCACAGGAGCCATGGGACCTTGTCCTCCTGGATGACCCAGCTCAGAAAATGAACAAACTGGCTCCAAGATGGAAAGGGCCATTTGTCATTTTGAAGCGCATGACAAAGTAATGATAAAGTAATTGTAACCCGACTGACCCACGCCTGGAGACGAGTGAGCCACTCAACAGGGTTACAGTTACATCCCAAGTGGGAGGCCTGTATATGGTTTCTGATAGAAACAATGTGTCTGTATTGCATCATTTTGTAGGTACAGTGCAGTCAAAATGTATGACCCTGAGTTTGAACTTGAATTATCATCCAAGGTCATATGTAACATCACCAACAAAAAGCCCCAACATGGTTGCTTATCTGAGCCAAATATCATAAATCTACCTTCCATCTTTTTGAAGGTATACAGCATTTTTTAAGTGAGCTCTGACCTCTTGTGAAGCTATTTTTGCACTGACTGACCCCAAAAGCTAATCAGTTGAGAAGAGGCCATGGCTCACTTGTAAAATATCGTGTAGAACCACAGAGACTGTTCACACACACACACACACACACACACACACATACAGAGAGATTTGACTGATTACTATTATGGTTGCATTATTATATTCAACACAGCCCCTGAATGGGGACAACTATAATAGTGTATGGCCAGGAGCGATCATACCAGGGCTATGAGCAGCAAAGGGAAAAGGCTACAGAATAAAATATCTTGCTACTAGAGACAAGGATGATCTATGTAACAGACCAAGAACCACATGGTGGTGGACATTACAAGGCAACATTTTCAAATGAAACACACTAAAGTTAACACTATGAAACCACACTAATGTAGAAGTGACAGAATATGCAACACAGACTAAATCACTGGCCAGTGGAAGTAGCAATGTAACTCACACCGCGATCAGAGAGCACACTACAGGGAGACAAGACTAACTCTACTCAGCTGACAGCAGAGGTTGGGAGAGAGAGAGGAGTGATCACTACATCCATGTAGCTCTACCACTTTGGGCTGAATCTATGGCACAGTCATGTCCCCTCTGTAGAATATTAGGATTGGGAATAAAAAGAGCCTTGAAATGAAATGTGACATTATGAAGTTAATGTCTCCTAAAATAAATAAATGTGACAGCATGAAAAACATCCCCTGACATAAAAAAGTGACATTATAACATAAAAGTGTCCTGAATTAAATAAATGTGCCATTAGAAAATAAATGTTACTGCATTGTTACACTTATTATTATATATTTACTTCCTTGAGCTATTTATTTCTCAGCCACATTTATATTGAATAAAATAGCATTTGATACAAAATGGTCACAGCAGTGAGGATTCAGCAGTGAATAGATAATGGATGGATGTTTTTGGATTGTGGGAGGAAGCCAGAGAACCCAGAGAGAACCCAGGCTGCAAGGGGAGAACATGCAAACTCGACACAGAAAGATCCTGGGTGTCCTCACTGGGACGTGAACCGGCAACCTTCTTGCTACAAGGCAACGGTGCTAACCCCCAAGCCACCTTGCAGCCCATGATGAGAATGTGAGAAATAAAAATTCTGAAACTTTAAATGGGGCAAAGTCATCAAATTCAATCAAATCAGGCTCATCGACACCTCATTTCACCAAATTGCTGAGAATTCTGATGAGAAGTAACTGAAAATTCCAGGCTTTTATTGTTATTAGTTTTGAAATATATATATTAAAAAAGAAAACACCTATTTTGTGGGAAGTTGGTCAGGATAATAGTTTACTGGGGCTCAGTTACATTTCAATGGCCGGCAGGGACAACTACATCCCTCTGCTGATGGCCCTCTACTTTGTTTTATATGAGGGTTTGGTCTTCCATTCAGTCTACTCTGTCAAGATGGTAGTGGGAAAAATGATATAATCAAACATTGCTAGAGGCCAGGCTCAAAGGCTGATGTGGTTGTTATTGCTAATTATGTGGAGAAACTTTGACGTGTGCCAGCTGCCTTATTGTGCAATATTTACTGATTGTAGTGTGCACAGGTGTTCTAGAGAGATTTAATTCCCTCCCTGTCAACATTATCTGAGAAGTAAACTGTGAGGAGCTTAAGATGGGTGAATATGATATATGATAAAATAAAAATTTGTCACTTCTTACCCCTTTCATTTTCACTTTTTATACTTTTCATTTGCTGTGGGTGTAGTCATATGATAGCTTTCGCTTCCAAAGCCTCCACAGAGACTAACACTACTAAAGTATATCAGACACAAGCGATTTTTCCCAAGTACATTTACGCAAAACATGTGCAGGGTATCTTTAAAAACCCAGAAGTGATGCTACTTGTTTTTTTCCCCTTTATTTCTGTAAGACAGCAACAGGTTGTACAGAAATAAGGAGTCAGGGTTTTCAGAGGAGACCCCACAGCCTTCATTCACTGCATTACCAGAGTGTTTTACAACTAACTTTAAGGCTTCATATTGCCTCACTCCTTTTGAACTTTGAGTTCCAGACAAGCCAGTAGAGACCATAAGCTTATGAGTGAAAAAAAATTAATAAGATGACATAACAAGTGTTCTCATATCAAATATCATTTTGGGGAGTCACTTCACATGGCACTTTCATGTTGGCTTCATTTCAGACTTACAGCTATGTCCGATGGCGAGGTCCATCTTTCTGAAACAGTCTATGTTCTATAATCTGACTCACCAGCCTGCCATTTTCACCATGCATTTCAGAAACTTTCTTCGCCTCTTCCATTATCTACAAGTTATTGTTTTCAAAATCACCTCCACTAAGGGACAACAACCTCTGAACCTATACCTCTAACCTATATGTTGAAAATGGTTTTGCCAAGATGTGTTTTTTGCAATAAGACAGGCTTGCTTGGTTCTTTCAGTGAAATAGCCAAGGAGAGGACAGAGTTGCCTGAAAGGAGCAGTCCATGTAGCCTTATTCTTGTAGAACTACATCTGGTGAGTCAGACTGGACTATGCAAAACTTAAAGCCAAATTATGCTTTTCGCAAGGGTACACATGACATAAATTTCATTTTCCATCAAAATCCGTGAAGGTATGCACAGACCTCTCTGAGGATTACAAAGTACAGCCAAAAATTTGTGATCATGCAGACCGTCTGCAGGGCAAGCCTGCCAAATGTGAGGGGTAATGTGACCAGACTGCTGTAGACCTATTGTAGTATCAACAGAATCACATGTGCATTTGCAGTCTGCTTTAAAAATTTGCATTAGTCTGTGCACACAGATGCAAAAAGCATGAATTGTCCCTTAGTATGACTGACAGGATATAGAATAGAATGCCTTTATTGTCACTATACACAAGTACAATGAGATTAAGAGCAGCTCCTTCAGTGCCATACATAATAAAGTACAAAGACTATAGACTATACCTGCCAATTAAGCCTGTCAATGGCCATGCTTTTCTCATGGCTCTTTCCTTTCCCTCCACTATCTGTGTGTTACTGTTTCAAAAAAGTCCTTGCTACCAGAAACAGCAACCTCCAAAATAATTTCCCTGATATTCTGAGGAGATGCTGCTGTTGCCTCCTTTATTAAGCTTCAACCAAAATGATTGTGATTGGTTTAAAGAAATACAAGCAAGCCAAAGCATTTTTCTCCTGTAGCAGAATGATAATGAGGAGCAGCCAGTCCTTTCTGGGCTGCAGAATGGTCTATCTATGGAAGACTAGTGTGTCTATGAGCTGTTAATGAGTGCTGCTGTCTGTCTTAGCCCCTTGTAGAAAAGCTTCCTAATCTCAACGTGTCTTGTCCAGGTTAAGAAGGGTTACATTGGAAATAAAAAAGATAAACACGTCAAAGTGTGACTGAGGTGTTTCAAGACTGCACGCGTTCTTCGGGACATTTAGCATTTTATTGTGGAGGGCACACACGGAGGTGCGCATGTTGCTGTGACAGCGGATTTCCACACACTCCTGTCTCTGCCACGTCGAGCTCCGTGGGGACCCGCAGGTTCGTAACTAAAATTACTGCACTCTGTACCGTAACAAACCTGACAACTCGCAATCCAGCAGCAACAATTGAGGAGCGGGTCAGAGCAAAGTCTCTCGCCTGTGACTCCAGCTGAAACATAACTGAGCGCCAGGAGGGTTGAACCGAGGGCAGGGTTGTTACTCACGTTTCCTAAAGTTGGTGCGAGCTAACAGCGGCAGTAAGAGGCGCCGTCACATACAGGAGCGTAATGTTGACCAACTCCGTCAAAAGCGTATAATAAGGCATGAGAGAGACTGTGTACAGTTGTTTGTCTGACTGTCTGTCGGGTGTGTCAGGTATTGAGCTAGCTAACTCCTGCCCTCAGTCCGTGGTAAACTCTCGGACTTATTTGTGCCGTCTGTTTCTAATGTTACAGCCGGACATGACTTCACTGGGCTGAGCCACTCTTCAGCAACAGTGTCAGATGAAATGTTTTCTTACATTTTTCTTTTCTTTTCTTTTCTTTCTTTCTTTCTTTCTTTTTTTAAAAAAAATCTTTCGTTACTAGACTACAGGAAGTGTTCCTTGACTTAACAACCAAGGTAATCCTGGTGTCACATATCAGGAACTTCCTAGTTTCCTCAACCCTTTGGTTTCATTCCCTCCTATATGTTCAATTAATAGACACATGCTTTCTGCGGTTTCTCAGGAAACAGATGACGATCCAGTGCAATCTGCCTGTTTGGCATTTGGTGCAGTAAATATGAGTTGTATAGTTAGAGTCTTAGCTAGAGGTTAAATTTAACAAGCTTACACTGCATTAATATTTACAGGTATTCTGTTTGTAGTGAGTGATTATGCTCCTATACTTCCTGTCCAGCCCATAGGTCCAAAACTTTGGAAGTTTTGATGCTCATGGCTTATTTTTTATAACAATTGTTATGCTGCTACGCTTTAACACATGAACTCAGTTTAGTTTCAGTGATCAAAAATTTTCTAATTTGTGTGTCAGGGATTACAGTTGTACTCATAAGTGTCTACTTGTCAGGTATATTGAGCAGAGTAGTAAATTGAAATAATTTGAGACTTGATATGAGTGATTTTGCACAGAAATGTACTCACAACAGGCTGTAACTTTCAACACAAGTGCTTGGAATGTCAGTTTTTTGTGTGATCTATAACAAGCAACATAAGCAATATCAATCCTTTAAAAGTTTTTAATGTTAGTTTTTCTTTTCTTTTCTTTCTTTTTTTTCTTTTTTTTACAGCTAGAAGGCTTTACTTCAGTGAGTGTCTGGCTATTTAATTGAAACATTGAAAAAAAACCCTCATTACCATATTTAGTTTATTTGGATATAATAATTCTAGAATGATTGGGCTGATTTTGTAGCAGAGTGCATCTGCGTCAAACAGAAAAAATATACTTTTTTTTTTTAGAAGCTTAAAAAGTCATTTGGAACCCTTCTCATATGGGCTAACACTTGCAAATGAATCCAAAATGGTTTAGATTCATCACACAGAGCTTTGTGCTGCTGATTTTAATCGTCAAAGAAATTAGATGCATTGCTTGGATAGTGGCAACAATTGGAACTACAATTGACATTTTTTAATAAAAAAAAGTAAAAACTCAAATCAAATCTTTGCTGCTGTGCAAGCGTGACCTCTTTGACCCTAGAATCTCTTGAGTTATGTTCTGTTTGACAGACTTCTGTTGTAGATTGCCATGTAAAGTGAGAACTGATTTTTCTTTTTGTATCAATCAGCACAAAAAGTTGCAGCATGATGTGTTTGAGTTAATTTGCCTTACTCGTCATTGCGCTTCCTGTGATGTGACTATTGTGCATACACATATAGCAGTGTTGATGCTTAAAAAACACTATTGTACAGCCCTATTACAGACTTCATTGTTTCCAGAAATGATACAGGGACAATATTAACACTACCACCAGTTAGTTTGCCAATATTAGATTGTACAAGAGTAGCATGAAATGTCCTATGAGCTGCATGCTTTTGTGGTGTTGCCTGTTTGCATGCGTCTAGTTCTGTCCATGGGGCTGATGCAGCTGTCACGATGTCACCTTAGTGACTTTGTTTTGCACTAATAGCTGACGAAGGTCTTGGACTGTTTGTGTATAAACTGTAAAGTTTAATAATGGGGTGACACTACGAAACTTTAGCATACTTTGCCATTCTTTTGGATGATACTTTGGGGTCACAGTAATTAAAATTTACTGAAGAGAATTTTAATTGTCATTTGCAAATATACAGTACAAAAAGCACATCAATTCATGGATTCTTTTAACATTTAAATATTGACCTACTCAAAAATAAATCCATTGTTACGTTGAATAATCTGTTACAAAATAATAAAAAATAAACTTTGATTGTCAGTGCCCACCCATAAAAATTTTGTGCATGACCAGTTACTTTTCTTTGGTGCTAGGACTTGGCTTCATGCCTTTAAATTGCTTAGATGTCACTTTACACCTTTTGTAAAGGTGTAAAGCCAGTCCACAAGCTGGCAAGAAGTGATGACAAATGGTGAGGGAGAAGCATATCTAGTATTAATTGTTGACGAGATAATGATGCTGCAGAGAAAAGACTAGGCCACCAAGCAATACCTGCTGCTCTGCTTTTTATGCTAAGTACAGTCAGGTCCATAAATATTTGGACATTGACACAATTTTTAGCATTTCGGCCCTGTACACCATCACAGTGGTTTTGAAATGAAACAATCAAGACATGCTTTAAGTGCAGACTTTTAGCTTTAATTTGAGGGTATTTACATCCCAATCAGGTGAACGGTGTAGGAATTACAACACATTTAACTGTCCTCCAACTGGTGCTCTTCACCTTTTTAAGGGACCAAAAGTAATTGGACCAGTGGCTGTTCAGCTGTTCCATGGCCAGGTGTGGGCTATTCCCTCACTATTTCATTTACAAGGAGCAGATAAAAGGTCTAAAGTTCATTTCAAGTGTGGTATTTGTGTTTGGAATCTGATGAGGTCAACTTGCAATATGAAGTCCAAAGAGCTGTCACTATCAGTGAAGCAAGCCGTCATTAGGTTGAAAAATCTAAACACACCCATCAGAGAGATAAAAACATTTGGTGTGGCCAAATCAATTGTTTGGTACATTCTTTAAAAAAGAAGAAGAAAAGAATGCACTGGTGAGCTCAGCAATGCCAAATGACCAGGAATACCACGGACAACAAATGTGGTGGGTGACAGAAGAATTCAGGCCAGATCAAGAACACTCTTCAGGAGGAAGACGTATCTGTGTCAAAGTCAACAATTAAGAGAAGACGTCACCAGAGTGAATACAGAGGGTTCACCACAAGGTGTAAACTATTGATGAGCCTCAAAAACAGGAAGGCCCGATTAGAGTTTGCCAAAAACCATCTAAAAGTGCCTGTGCAGTTCTGGAACAACATCCTATGGACAGATGAGACAAAGATCAACTTGTACCAGAATGATGGGAAGAGTATGGAGAAGGAAAGGAACTGCTGAAGATCCAAAGCATACTTCCTCATCAGTTCAGCATGGTGGTGATAGTGTAATCGTGTGGGCTGCTAGTGGAACTAGTTCTCTTATATTTATTGATGATGTGACTGCTAAAAAAAAAAGCAGTAAGATGAATTCTGAAGTATTACGGGCATTATTGTCTGCTCACATTCAGCCAAATGCTTCAGAACTCATTGGATGGCGCTTTATGGTGCAGATGGACAATGACCTGAAGCATAAAGCGATAGCAACCAAAGAGTTATTTAAGGCAAAGAAGTGGAATGTTATGCAACGGCCAAGTCAATCACCTGACCTGAATCCAGTTGAGCATGCATTTCCCTTGCTGTATACAAAACTTAAGACAGCAACAGCAGAGGCCTGGCAGAGCATCATCAGGGACAAAACCCAGCGTCTGGTGATATCTATGGGTTAAAGACTTCACGCTGTCATTGACTACAAAGGATTTGCAACCAAATATTAAAAGTAATAATTTGATTTATGATTATGTTAGTTTGTCTAGTTACTTTTGGTCCCTTAAACAGTTGGAGGACAGTTAAATGTGTTGTAATTCCTACACCGTTCACCTGATTTGGATGTAAATACTCAAATTAAAGCTAAAAATCTGCACTTAAAGCACGTCTTGATTGTTTCATTTCAAATCCATTCTGGTAGCGTACAGAGCCGAAATGCAGAAAATTCTGTCAATGATCTGCGGACTTGGTTTACCTCACGCCACGCAGGTCTATGCTGGTATAGGAATATCCATCTCCACTCATCCTTTCATTGCTCGTTGCCGTTCAAGCATGTCAGCTCACCTTCAGTTCTGCTCAAACACTGTAAAACTGCTCTACATTACACAATGGAAAATTGTAATATTGGAGTTATTCAGCCATAGATGTGGTTAGCATCGTTGCCTCGCAGCTAGAAGGTCCCTGGTTCGGGTCCTGGTGAGGACACCCGGGATCTTTCTGTGTGGAGTTTGCATGTTCTCCCTGTGCAGTGTGGGTTCTCTCTGGGTTCTCCTGCTTCCTCCCACAGTCCAAAAACATGTTGAGGTTAACTGGTGATTCTAAATTGTCTGTAGGTGTGAATGTGAGTGTGGTTGATTGTCTGTCTCGAAGTGTAGCCCTGCGATAGACTGGCGACCTGTCCAGGGTGTCCCCTTCCTTCACCTTAAGTCAGCTGGGATAGGCTCCAGCTGCAAACCTTGTGAGGATTAAGCGGTGTATAGGTAATGGATGGATGGATGTTCAAACCAGAAACCAATTCTGAAGACAGGATTGGTTCCTGAGGTTTGTTATGTATGAAACCCTGAAAGTCTGAATCAGTGCTTTGAAGACTGTTATCGGTACATTGCAGTTCAAGGTGGAAATGCAGTGTACCCTGATTTTGACTGCTTATTTTGGTCATGATGTGTCTTGTAGCAAAAACACCATATAGACATTTTACAAGAAAAAAAAAGGAGCGGGTCTTTAGCAGATGATTCATTATCTCTAAACAATGTGCTTTATGATTAGCTAAAAAGACCAATGAGTCCCCTGTCCTTTTTACTTAACCTGATCAGACTTAAGGGAACAACACATTAATTCATGAGGAGAGGGTAAGGGGTTGTGCAACAAATTGGAATGTACTTGTGGGGAAGTAGTGCATGTTGAGGGAACTACTATATATAATAAATATTATATTATAAATAGTTGATTACATACTTATTTATATCCTTTGATTGACATACACATTGATGCTGATTTGTCTGTCCTCGCACAACAAGCATTTCAGGCTTATTTACCTCTGTTTAACCTCTAATAAAAATCTGAGGAGAAATCTGGTCTAGGAGCTTGGTTGGACTGAATAGAATAGAATAGAATGCTTTTATTGTCATCATACACAAGGTACAACGAAACGGTATGTTGGACCCAGATTATTTAGTTATGTGAAAGGTTTCAAGATTCCGTTTGAAACCTCCTGAGTTGCTTACAGTATTATTTACTTAGGTGCGACACCACAGCCTCCATTTTATTTACCTCTGTTTCCCCATGACATCACGTAAGCAGGTGCTCTGCTCCCTGATTTCTCCCTCTCGGGAAATAATCTTAAGAATTTCCTGTAGTGTGTGATATGCCATTATTTTTAATTCTAGTCTTGTATGCATTTCTGAGATTAGAGAGAATATCTGTGAAATTTCTCCCTATGTGATGCAACCCAATTTCAAAATCTGTAATGATTTTAGAACTCCTGTGGTGTGACCCCAGCCTTAGTTAAAATGGAACATCAGTTACCCTCCAATGATCTGTCGTAGTTCAGTAAAATGGGATCATATGTAAAGCCTCACCACATAACCAAAAGATACTACAAATTACAGCGAGTCTTAATCCCCTTTCTTGTTGACCCTGTGCTTACCCTTGATCTCTTTGTCCTCTACTACATGTTTTAAGCAACTGCTACTGTGAGACCACTAGATTGTGTTTTAACAATACATGGTAGATCTCTGTTAAGACTGCTACTTTCAGAGAAGTTTGTCTCATTCCTCAGTTTACAGCAAATGTTGGGTGGCACACTTCTAAAAAGTTTTTGCATGTTGCATTATACTGAATCATATGGAATGTTGGATGCAATGTGTGATGGTCAGTCTTAATCATGACAAGGTTTGTGATGCAACCTTTGGAGGACCACTGTTAGCTGATTCTATCCAGTGGAGTCACTTTACTCAGCTAACAAGAATCTCACTGAGACTGTGATCAAAGTACCTTTTACTCTGTTTATACAAAAATGTTTTATTCATGAGTTGAAGTTTATGATAATTTTCAGTACAAAATCAGCTTTATATGTAACCAGCTCTGGGTACATTCATTGTAATGTAATTCAGTGTAATGTCATGCTAGGGAAATTTAGAAACTCATTTGTTTACACAGAGAGCTGTTTAATCAGCTTTAAGTGAGCTAGGTGTATTCTTCAAAGTGTGATAAAAATGTATCTTTTTTTATTTTTTTTTGGTAATTGTCATGACTAACAGAGTGGATTTTATAATGTGTTAATGTCCAGTATGGACAGGAGGACTGATTGGAATGCAAACATAGACACCTGGTAATGGTTTTAAGACAGGGAATAATAGTGAACTTACATTTTCAATGCAGTATTGATTTTCTGTTCTTAGCTTGGCAGTTTACTTAGATGCACTGCTACATTTTTTTTGGTGTGATTTTGCTTATCATATGTTGCTTATATCCTGGGCTGCAAGGTGGCGCAGTTGTTAGCACTGTTGCCTCGCAGCAAGAAAGTCACCGTTTCGCGTCCTGGTTGAGGCACCGGGATCTTTCTGCGTGGAGTTTGCATGTTCTCCCCGTGCAGCGTGGGTTCTCTCCGGGTTCTCCAGCTTCTTCCCACAAGTCCAAAAACATGTTGAGCTTAATTAGGATTCTAAATTGTCCATAGGTGTGAATGTGAGTGTGCTTGGTTGTCTGTCTCTAACTGTGGCCCTGCGATAGACTGGCGACCTGTCCAGGGTGTCCCCTGCCTTCACCCTGAGTCAGCTGAGATAGGCTCCAGCCCCCCCACAACCCTAGTGAGGATGAAGCAGTTCATAGATAATGGATGGATGGATGGATGCTTATATCCTAAGTTTTGGCTGTGACAAACTCCTCTTGTTTCCACAGCTATCTCTGGGCCTGTATGGAGGCCTGTTTAAGGTTGAGCATCCTCTACTCTGCCATACATTGTAACATCATCTCCTTTATCGGCTGAGACTCTCCGGTTTTACTCAAGCAAAACATTTCCCTTACTTGTATCTTTTTTCCGTCCCATTGACAAAATGAAGTAAGAGGATTCAGGAAAACCTAAGATATAATAGATATAAGACGTCCTACCTCTAAACTATCATCTGAGGATATGTCAGTTTCTCACGGGGAAAACAAATTTACATCACCCCTCTGTAGTGCATTTTCATGGTTTCATTCATTTCAATTTTTGAATTTTTTCTGTAGCCCAATTGTTTTTTTTTTTTACAAAGTACAAGATTGGAAAAAACATTAAATATCAAAATGGTTTCTCCCACACACACAAATATTTTGTCATTTTAACTATAGGTGAATCAGAAAAACAAATTAGGAGTCGTAGTCTTGAATTCAGTTATTTTTCTGTGCACTAAAAAATTAAATGTTCTTGATGTTATTATAGTATCAGAGCTACCTGATCAGCTGCAGTGTCCAATCACCAACTAATGTTTAATGTATGTGTCACAGTCGTAAAAGACTTCTGTGAGGGCTCTGCATTTTTGCTTATGTCTCCCTCGAGATCTCACCTGCTCCTCGCTTCTGTGAAAAGAAACAGAAGGCCTGGACTTCCAGTTCCCTGGTGCAAAATGAATCCTTCTACCCCTGGATTCACCTTTTGTGACTAAAACACAATTTGGAGGCATTAAAAAATACTAATAATAACAACTCCCATTCATTAGGAAGTTTACGAGTGTGTTATTAGTCTGACCTGGAACACTAATTAATTAAAAACATATTGAAAAAGTAGAAATGATACAGGAGAATCATTTTAAAATGTTTTTGCAGTGACGTTCATGTCTGTTTGAGGAAGTTCACGGTAAAGTGTCTACAACATGACTTGTCTCATGATTGTGTACTTCTGTCTCTGTCAGGTTCCTGTGAGCACAGTGAAGACATTATGAGGCAGCTCAAAGGAAAACCCAAGAAAGAAACGTCTAAGGACAAGAAGGAGCGGAAGCAGGCCATGCAGGAAGCCCGACAGCAGGTGGCTACTGTGGTGCTGCCCACACTGGCTGTAGTCGTCCTGATTATCGTTGTTTTTGTCTATGTGGCCACCAGGCCTGGTGCTATAGTAGACATTTAAGTTGTACTAAAGAGACATGAACTTCAAAAACTGACTGGGGTTTGACAAATGGCCTGTGGCTTTACCCAAAGGATTACCCCCATCATGTGACAGCAGTCCCTCAGTAGGCCAGTGACAGGTCTACATTTGTCTTAAAGAAAGCCTCCAAAGTGCGTGCGTTCGCTTTAAGCAGGATTCCAGCAGCAAAAAGAAGAAACTGTTGCTCCTTGATGCCTTTTGATGAATGAGGACAACATCATAGCGAGTGGATTCATCTTGATGTCTTACAAAATTATGCAATATCTTACATACCAAAGGACTCACACAAACCTTGCCAAGTTTGACCAGAGGTGTTAAAAATATGTAAATGGATGAATGGTCACAGACAGTTTTCCAAGTCGATGCCATTGTAAATTTGTGAAGTCAATGCAATATGATCCCGGGGTCAGACATGTACCACTCTTTGGGCAGAGCTCACACCTACAGTATCTGTATAAATGATATGTCTATGAAGTGGCTGACTTCTTGGAACAGCTGAATCTTAATGAATGTTGTTGCAGAATATGTTATCTCAAGTCTAGTAGGTTCAAGCACACTCGGATTTCTCTTTTTTCCATGTCTATGTTGGCCTCTTTGTTTTCATTAAGTTATTGACAACCACCACTGACCTTTGGGTTACTCATAACATCTCTGCAGATACAATAAGGTGCCTTAACAGATTTGCAACTGTATTATTGCAGTTCAATAAAAGATTTTTAACAAAAACAAACAACTTTGAGTTTGGTTAGTATTTTTATATTCTTAAGTACTGCATTTTTTCTGTATTTTTTCCTTGTCGTGCAGTCAAACAGAAGTGTGTCAAAGGTCAATAAAAATGTACCTTATACAATCTGACTGTACTGACATTTGACCTTTTTCTGACTGAAAATTGTTTTAAATCTGAAATTGATCTTAAGCACCATCCGAATGGAAATTGGTGTTTTTGTCACTGCAGCCCTTTTGCTCACATTTATGCAGGGTCTAGTTTATATTGTGAACGTAGGATTAACTACCAGGACAAGTGTTTTAATTATACACACAGGGGTTTTTATAATTTCTATGTTAAGTCTTGTATAGGCTGGACAAGCACAGCTGGTATTTAGATTCTATTCAGTATTGTACTTATACCCTACTTCTGCTGAGCAGATCCCCTAGCCTACAAATCTTTAAAAACAGCCGACAGATTCCTTTTTAAAAAGATTTCCTAAAAGAGCTCGTCACTTTATTTATTTATTTATTAAATCAGATGTTATTCAATCAGGAGTATTTGTTTTGGACCATTACATTCAGTGATGGTCAACAAAGAACGGTGGCACTCTATGAAATAAGACATATTATGCTGTACTTCCTGTTGACCAGTTTAATTGTTCTCAGTGTCAAATATAGGCATCATATTGTGTCTTCAGAAAATTCTGCAATTCTGCCATTTGCTTAAAATTACTCATTGCAACATGTCATACTTGATAGATATTAAACTGCTAGTGAAATGACATGTCAGTGACCCCACAAAGTGATGATGTAACTAATTTTGTCATTTACTGCTCAAAGTGAAACATTAGTCAAAATGTTAATGTTATGTAAGTATCAAATAGTGAATGTGGCAACAACAGAGTATTTTCACACACCCTGTGCCCTTGCTTAATTTCTGTCAAAGTGTAACTTACAAACTACAGCTGGTAAAACCTCTGTATCCCATGATCTAAATGATTTCAGAGGCTGTGTCCTTCTGTTTCTTCAATGCTACTGTTGTTTTCCGTCTCCACTCTCAGTGAATCTTGGCTGTAGACCCACAGCCATTATATGTGCAATTTCCAGATGATGATGATATTCAGTCAGAATTATCTACTTAAATGTGTTTAATCACAAAAAAATAAAATGGATTAGTTTTCTTTCATCTGGGTTTTAACCAGCTGAGACCTTTTATAGAGAGTTTGCAAATTCTCCTCATGTCTGCGTGAGTGGCCTTCAGGTGCTCTGGCTTTCTCCTACAGTCCAAACATTTGCACTGTAGGTCAACTGGTGATTCTAAATTGTCTGTGGGTGTGTGTGAGTGTGCATGGTTGTCTATTTCTACTTAATGGACTGGAGATATGTCCCCCACTGACAGCTGGGATAAGCTCAAGTTCTCTAGGATAAAACATATATAGCTGATGGATGGATGGTGTTGTCTCATCTTTATGGATTTAGAAACACTATAGGTGACACTTTTTGTTGTCCAAACAACCTTTTAGTTAATTTTAGTTGTAAATCGTAAGTGTCCAAATTGTGTGCATTTTTGCACGATGCTCAAACTTCTAAACGGACTAAGAATTGTTAATGAAGCAACAAAATCCATTGTTAATACTGAAAAAACTCTGATAGGCCCGAGTACTTGCCGCATGCGCTCTCAGTAGGCTGCAAAGTTCGCAGTTTTCTAAATTGAGACAGGAAAAATGATAATAATATTTCAAAATAAAACAAATAAAGCGGTCGAAAACTGATGCAGTTGGTTGTTGTAGATCATCTTACCACAATTGTAGAGTTATTCTTGCAGAATATTTGTCGCTCTACTTTAAACTTTTAATGGCCTGAAAAGAAAATGTAATTTCTTTGTTTCTAAACTAAACAAGGGGCAACGACAAATGACGAACGGCAAATCAAATGAACAGGGGAATTTCAACTTTCTATAAGAAATTGTAGACCTGGCCTTTCAAGTGCTTTTTATGTTTCATTTTGTTATATTATCGTCACATGTATGTTTTATTGTATTGGAAAAAAACTCTTAGACATCAGCCGTTACTTTGAAGGCTTTGCCTGGCAGTGATGTTTGCTTGCTGCCACCTTGACGCTACAACGCCTCCCATCAGTTTCTCTGAAGAAGACTTCCGGTTGTGTGTCATGGCGGTGGCATGGTGAATCCTACAGAAAGGAAAAAATACTCACCCCTGCTGTCCTTTCCCATCGATTCAGGACAAATTTCCATGCATTACTAAGCCTATCAGCTCCGTCCTCATACCTTGGATTTACCAGCACAGCGTTGCAGTGTCCCTCCGCCCGGCCATGGCGGCTCACAAACCAGTGGAATGGGTCCAGGCCGTGATTACTAGATTTGATGAGCAGGTAAGATGGGCTGATTTGGTGGATGGGTGTAGCAAGGGTTGGTAATCTTGAGGCTCCACCGTCACACTGGTAATGTTACATGTATACTGACGAAGTCCCTTTTCCCGTCAGGCCGAGTTTCTCAGCTGAAATGTGTTCTGTATTGCTCGTCCCAGCTGCAAAGCACTGAAGATGTGCTCCTTCAAGCTAGCGCCGTCTCTACGATTAATTAGCAGATTCATCCCACATTTCACCGGGCTTTGTAGGGACCTCGTTGCTCAACTGCATAATATCACACAATAAGGCAATGTGTCAGGCATATTATAAGTACAGGTCTTAGCTATCGTTTTCTTTCATACCAGTGAGGTAGCTAACATTAGCAGGCCTAGCTATCTAATGTAAACAAATAAGATGTGACTGGCTAGCACGCTGCATTCATATGAGCTAACAAAGTTACGGACTTGGGAGGAAACGTCAGGACCAATTATTAATGCAGATCTCCTGCTAGCTAGTTTGTTAACAACTTTGGTCAGCACGTCTGCTTGATATGATATGGCAGTTGAAACAACAACAGCAAATCCTCATCTGTTAACGAGGAATCTGTAGCTAGAATTTATACGCCACTGATTTTCGAAGCTGTTCTTGCTTTTTAGTTGTTGCCTTCAATCACCACATATTAGCAAGTTTTGCAGACTTTGCCTCACTTGTTGTTATATTGAGACATGCAACCCAGAGATTAAAGACAATCAAGCAATGTGCTTAATTTTTAGTGAATCAGTGTGATTGGGTAGACGGACAGAGAAATAAAGATTGTTGCCTTTTTGTTTTCTCTGAGTGTAATCCGGTTTATTAAATGAAATCAGTTTGGAAAAAATAAACATAAAGACAAGTGTTGGTAATTTGAGAGAAGTCTGCTTCTGGCGTTAATTACTAGAGATAATGGCTTGTAGCTGAGGTTTAGCTAAACTGGGATTATTACCTTTGGAAGATTGTGGCTGTAGGTGTTATATAGACGTCTAGATTATTGTTATGGTAAGCCCTAACTAAAACCTTTCAAGCACTTTAGTGTAGGCAATTTCAGTTTGTCTCTCAATAAGCATGCTTTTTCTTGTCGATGCAAAAATATTGAACTCTTCTTAAGAAGCTGAGCATCCTTTGGTGTGCTTGGTGGATTGAAATGACGACATCAATGACAGTACAGTGAGTTTGTCAAATGGTTTCGGCTATAACCTTCTCACCATCATGTATTACATTTTTCTACATAATACCGCTTCACAGGCACTTTTAACATCGTAGCCCTATATTAAAATTTAAAGTGACCGTCATGTTTAGATACTTCTGCCAGCTGAGTAGTGGTCCATACAGTACATATAGTGTGCTGTCTGGGTCAGTATCCTTGGAGAGAAGAGTGCAGGAGTTGATCTGTTGTGGTAATATAGTCTGTATGAAATAGGTGGATGTAGCGTTCAAGTCTGAAAAATTAAGCAAATGCAGAGGTGGCTTGAATCTACATTTTGTCCCTAAAAACAGGTTATACCATAAAGAAGTGTATGAGAAAATGGCCGTACTTCTGACTTGATTTTTCTTACTTAATAAACATTTTACCAATGAGTTTATGGTCTTAGTTGCGAGTTTGAAATCTTCTTTACGACAGCATGATGTTCATTTTGTAAAATAGCTGATAGAGCAGCTTATGCTTGAGGCCCTGGCTACCTTGTGATCGGCACATTGCTACTATATGGGCGTGCATAGTGTACTGTACTCTAGTTCTCAGACAGCTCCACCCCTCGTTCCTCTCTAACACCAAACATCTAACCTAATTTATCACTTCTGGCTCCAAAAAAACAAAAGGGCAGTGGACAAAGTCCTTAACTTGAGACTTTAAAACGATAGTTCAAACACCGATGGGTGATGTCATGGTGGCTATGTCCACTTCTTTTTTACTGTCAGTGTGTGGAAGGAGAGATTGGACAACCTCTTTTCAACCATGGGATGGACAAAACCTTCAAGTTTAGCTGCAGCTTCCAACCAGTAGCCTTTTTAAAGCAGTAGTTCATCAGAGAGATGTGATTAAAATAGAAACTTCATAGAAACATTTGGACGGTTTTTGACCTTATTTTGCTCGGCAGTGTTTGCTTTCGTCGCTCACAATGCAGTATACAGGGAAACTCTGCCAGTCAGTGGTGTATCCAAACCCGGATTGTTTTTAAATAAAGAGTCAGACATTTGGCTTGTTTCATGTATTCAGTAACTTTATCATTTTTCCTGGTGCCCTAATCTGTTTAGTTGTCATGGAGATGATTGCGCTTTTATCACGTGGCCTACTTAAGAAATCGGATTAAATCTACCTGTTGTGTTAAAGTGTATCTGCAAAGATAAGTTAGAATGTGTGGCAGATAATGGATTTTGTGATGGGACTTTTTCTGATGGTTTCATTTTTGATTTGTTCTTAGGAAATGCAGATTATTTTCTCTTTTTTTGCACAATTACAACAGTGATTAAAGGTAAAGAGCAGCTATAACATACATGCAAAATGTCAGTGTTTTGTTTTTTTTGTTTGTTTATTACCTTTGAATCACTGTGATACAGTAGAAAATTGAAGGGCCAAGCAGAACTGCGTCAACTAAAGTACATTGCTCACAAGTACAATGAGGACTTGTCTGCCTGCATAGAAATTCTGATCCAGATTGGAAAAAGCATTGCAGAAATGTGGCTGACTTCCTGTTTATGTCCTTGCTGCCAACTCTGTCACAGTCAAATGATCTGCAGTAAAGGATGCGAGTGTTTCTGACAGAACTTGAAGAATGTGAAATGTTCACTCACTACTTAAACAGACTGAGATACCTATTGAACTGTCTTGCCTTGTGACTTGTGAGCAAAACAGAGCCAAACCTTTTTTTAATTCATGATTATCAACTACACGACCCACATCTAGGAATGTGCAGTGCAGTAATGCAATGAGATGACACTTACTTGAGGACTGAATACGTTTTTCACCTTACACCATGACTGTTTTCTTTAAAAAATAATCTTGACCAAGGGCCCTCGAATCAACCAAAGGGGTAGGAAACTTATTTTCTCAACATGCTGCTCTCTGCCGTCGTTAGGCTTCTGTTAATGCAATTACAACACTTTATGCAATTGTAGCACCATCAAAGCCTTCCACTGGCCAATGTTTTTAAAGTTTTTATTTCAAAGAAGATATAGATTGCAGTGGTTTGAGTGTGTCATGTTAGCAACTGCGAAATGCTTGACTCAAAAAGACTTGAATACATTTCTGTTCTATTTTGTGAGTGTTGAGTATTGAGGGATGGATGGAAAAAAAATAAACGACCTCAGTGAGTGATTAGAGGGTGAGGTGCATTATGAGAAGCTGTTTTAAATGAAATGGCCAACATGGATAAAATCTTTTGTCACAGTAAGTGCTAATATGCTATTATCATACTGTAATACAGTAGTAGCATTCCAATGTGTAACTGTAGCCTAATTTCAGAACTAGGATGGATGATATCAAGGATGACCAAGGTGAAACCACTGCACCTTAGAGAGCTTAAGGTTCAGAGTGGCTGGCCAGGACCTGCTATCACTGGACAGGAACCCTGCACCAGCCTTTCAGCCTCGCAGCATACCGTCGGTCAGCTCTTAAAGCAGGCCACTGGGAGTGTGTCATTCAGATGATGGTAGTGGAGGACAGTACACAGGGTCAGGGGAGTTTTTAAACCACAAAGCCTGGCAAACGCTGATCCCAATACTTTGGAAACATGGAGGGCAAAGGAGCTCAATGACAAGCTGGTTATGAGCCAGAGAATGAGTGCGCTTGAAATTTGTTCATAGAACTGAACTTTGCCTTTTCATTACGTTTTTTTCATGGTGTTTTGCTTCTAAGGCTTTTAAGTGAAAAATCATGTTGAATTTAAACATTGCCATAAGCAGTACTCATTGATCTGCAATGGTCTAATGCACCAAGATATATTAAGGGGAAGTCAAATTCATGTTTCTCATGCTGAATTTGCACTGTTATTGCTGCATTGCCTATGAATAGTCCTTTATGGAAAAACAAGTGCCCAAATGTGGCAGGCATGATTACAGATTTCATGTCTAAATTGGGCTCATTTTTCCAGCTAGTTCACTGCATAGTCGATGGGCTGTTTCCATGTTGTGATCTTAGAATCTGAAGTTGACCTACTCTGACGTTAAGCACATTGAATTAAAAATAAAATGTATTTGGGATGTTAATGATGAACTGTTTATTAAGTTCCATTAATAATTAAGTGTGTTAACACATTAACTGATAAGACAGAAGACAACAGATATGGATGTATTGTAGATGTGCTGTTGTACCTGTTTGCACCATCAGGTGGAGCCTCTTACTGTTTATTAAAATGAAGTTACAGGTCTGTTTGCTGATCATAAGGGTCCTTAAAATTAGTGCGCTTTCCTGCGAAGTAACTGCAGTCGTGTTGATGAACTCTGTAGGAAAAAGTTGGGAAACAGGTGTCTGGTGACTGTCCTGTTTAGCTAGCTACCTTAGGCTCATGATGGGTGGCTATGGCTCAGGTGGTAGAGCAGGTTGTCCTCCAATCGCAAGGTTGGTGGTTCGATCCCCCGCCCCTCCACAGTCGAAGTGTCCTTGGAACCCGAAGTTGCTCCCAATGGCAGCTCTGTTGCCATTAGTGTATGAATGGGTGAATGAGAAACACATTGTAAACACTGAGAAACACTGTAAGCGCTATATATATATATGTGACCATTTACCATTTACCATAACTGTAAAGTAGGCTGGGAGTTGAGTGTCTGCTGTAGCTGCTTTCTGCTGCTAGATTGACAACGCTGCTAATAATAAGGAGCAGGAGGACTCTGATTACATGTTTCCTACAACTTTCAAACTAAAGTGATGAAGTATATTGACAGACTGGACTGATAAAGTTGCTGCCGCAGTATTTGGGGATGTCTTTTACTAATGAGTAGCTGTTTCCACCATCTGGACTCATGTTAAGTCTAGTGGACACATGACTCTATCA